ATAAATTGATTATAAAAAGTATATTTATTATATTCTTAACTTATTTTTTTAAAATATGAGTCAAAAAACTTACAAAAAATTATTAAGAGTATTTAAATAATTTTATATGTAATTTATGTATTTTAAATAAAGTTTATCTAATATGTAACTTTACAAGACAAATTAAAGAAATATTAAATATATTTGTCATATATTAGTTTGGATAAAAAATTATATTAATTTTAACATTTATGCCTGTAAATATTTTTTATAGATAATTAATAAAATTATTATTTTTATAATATATATTAATAATAAAAAAATAAATATATTTTAAATTTATATATTAAAAAATCCTTTAAAATACAAAAAAAATATAAATTTTTATTTTTAATTAATAAATAAAATAAAAATTTATACTTTATTATTTAAATTATGCTAAATTATATAATTTTAATTATTAAAAAGATACGGCACTTGTAGACTTGTAGTCCTCTACCATTCAAATGTTCTTATTTTATTTTAAAGTTGGTTAGTGTTTTAACGTAGCGTGTAATGATTGTTTTCAAAATTTATTGATTGGGTTTAATTGATTTGAAATTTGGTTTTTTTAAAAATATTTTTTACTTTTTAAAATTTCCTAATATTTAAAAAAGTTGATAAAATAAATAGTTTATTTTGACCTAATAACATAAATTTTGAGTTAAAGCCAGAGTTATTCAACTCATACAAGTGATATGTTTAAATTTTACAGTTTTTTTTTTCAATTAATATATATAAATAATTTTAAGTTATTAAAAAAATTGATAGAATATTATCTTTTTATATAACAAAATAAAAAGTAAAAAAGAAGAAGAAGAACCTCGAGGGCGAATGACCCGCTTTAATCTAATGGCATCAGACCCTAAATTAAAACTGTTCACTTTTATGAGTTATACCTTGAAACTTCATGGAATTTTTTTCTCCTCTCTCAATTAATTCTGTAATTAATTATAAATTGTTAAAAAAATAAAAAAACCTCGAGGCCTTCGCCGCTTGTTGCTGCGGCACGTGGCGAACAGCGTCCCTCCCGCATGCATCTCACGTGTCGAGGGTTGGTTAATAAAAAGACAAAACAGAAAATATAAAAAAGGTATGTGGGGCCAGAACGTGACGTAGAGCCCACAGAAATAGTTTTGAAACCACTACACTGTGGGGGCCACTTTAGATGGGAGAGTGACGTCACTGCTTGGGTCTCTTCCTTAGGCAAAACTAAGTGTTAAGCCCTGTAATTTACGCCATATTAACATATAAGCTCTCAAACTAATAAACCTACGTTTTAAGCCCTCAAACCCACATATTGATGCAAATTAGCCCTCATGTAGGAATGTGAACGAATTTTGTTTAGGGTTTGTTTGGTTGCCAAGTCACTTTTCTCCAGTGTTGTAAAATTCACGATTAATCAATCAACTAATCACGATTAGTGGGAGGGCGGTGGGGTAACACCTTGCCTTGCCCACTTTTCTGCCCAATTTGGCAATAGTTGGCTAAAATCAATTGCATTTTCTTAGATTTACAATATAATTATACTATAATCCAAGAACCATCACCAAAATCTATCTCAATTAAGGACATGTTTGGTGGAATTTTTTGAAATTTTTAATTTTTTAGTATTATTTATGAGTCAAGAGTTTAAATTTTTATTATAGAAAAAATTTAAAAGTTAATTTTTTTGACATAATTTAAAAGTTAATTTTAGAAATAATAAGAAGTGAATAAAAAAAATTTTATAAAAAAGTAAAAGTTTGAGAATTTTCAAAATTTACTATTTAAAATCTTTTTAAAATTAAAAAAAAATTAAAAAATATAAATTTTTAAAAATAAAATTTAAACTTATGAAATATGAATAATATAAAAAAATTGAAGCATTTAGAAGTTTCACCAGACATGCTCTAACTCAAGCAAGCCTATTTAGCAAAGTTGTTACCAGAATAATGATGGGACGTGCCATCACACGCTAGAGCTCCGAAGTTCACCCACCAAGAACACCCCAATGAAGGTGCTAGAGGTTGAAGAAGAAGGTCCACGTCACTTAAATGAAACGATACGTTGTGACGTTTTTTAGCATTTTAGTCCTTTAAGTTAAATAAAATGTGTAGTACAATCCTTAAAATTTTAATTTTGATCAATTTTTTATTTTGTTTCCATTTTCTGATATTTTTGACATTTTTTTGAAATAAAAAATAAATAAATAAAGCAAAATGCCCAATCCTACTAATCATATCTGGGCAGTGTTGGATTCTGGGAGGTGGGCGACTGCCCAATCACCGCTCACCAACTTCTGTAACCATGCTTTTCTTACTAAATTTTAAAAAAAATTTCTCCTTTTACGTATTTAATACATTAATACTATAATAAAAAAAAAAGTAAAAGTAATAATTTTAGCCTATGTTTTCCCTTATACAATCCTTAACTTTTAAACTTTTTTTTTACACTTTTTGAAAGAAAAAAGTTTCCCCTTAACTTTTTTTATATAGAATCCACTTAATAATCTTTCCACCAACTTTCCTTATATCAATTTTTTACCAAATACAAAAACACTAACAACCCAATTCAATTTACTTGCAAAACTTATCAACTTTCCATAATATACTTTTTCAATAAAAACTTTCTTAGTAAAGTTAGTTTTCTAACTAAACAAGGTCTTATCATTTCTTGAAAATCAAACACACATATAAATAAAATTAAAATCTCTTAGAAAGCATAAGATTTTAATCTCAAATTAATGTGTTTTTATATGATTTTAAGTAAAGTTGATAGCTAAGTATTCTAGAATTATGGTTTTGTAATTCATTTACATGATTTAATTAAATTTTTATTGTCAAATTGAATTAATAAAAAACAAAAGGAAGTAAAAGTGGAAAAATTAAGTTATTTTAAGTATTTTGTTAATTTTTAAGAATTATTTTTGTTTTAAATTTAACTAATTTAAGGACTAAAGTGCAATTAATCATTCGTTTCAAAATTCATAGAGCCAGCCGTTGCTCTTAACAGAACATTGAACATCATTTATGGGCTGATTTATATTGATTTCTTGGATTTAGTTAGAGGACTTATACATTAATATAGGGTAAGTTTGAGGACTCAGCACTAGGTTTTGCCTTTTTCTTGGGTTCTCGTTCGAGCTTAAATATTTTTGTAATTGCGTGGAAACCTCTCAACTTTGATGTATTTAATTTAAATGGATTCTAACTTTTTTTTAAAAAAAATTTAAAAGTGCATATTGCTTCTTATTTCAAGTATTCTCTTCTTGTTGTTCTTCTTGTTCTTCCTTTTTTTTTTTTTTTTAGGCCCGTCCAAGTAGCTAGTATCATCCTTTGTTTTTCTTACTTGGTGTAAGGTGAACAAAAATTATCATAGAGATTTCTTGGAAATCATTAATTCATTTCTTTTATAATTACAACTTTATTTTGAAAATTTTGTCTGACATAATAAAAACTATTTTTTATTTTTATATTCACTAAACATCAAAAATAAACTTGATTAAGAAATGTATTTTTTTTTTCTCATTTGTGACAAGCAATTCGTCAAAAATAAGATTTTGTATCACTAATTGTGCCTCGTTTATTATTTTTCATATATAAGAGTATTCATAACATTGTACCTTGAGGGACGTCTTAAAAATTGGAAACTTGAACTTCATAACCTTCTAAACATTTTTTCAGTTTTCTTCTGACCAGGTTGCGATTTTATTCTACACTTAGAATTGCCTTGCCACAGTCTTCTTAAATTTTTTTTATCTTAATTTGTTCATTGCAGGAAAACGTGAATGATCTATAAGATACTAGACAAAAATCATTATTATATAACTGTTTTAAAAATATTATGGGTAGAATGTCATGTTTTATTATAACTTTATAACATATTATGTTATTATATAATTGATTTTTTATTTAAAAATTTATTCATAATATTATATATATTTATTTAATATTATATCATAATTTTAAATTTATAATTTTATATGATATTATAATTATAGCACTATCGATTTTAAAAGTGATGGCTAACTCGGTCCTCAAAATCTAGAGGAAAGTATTAATATATAAATAGCATTTTTAATCTTAATAATTTTCCATTTTCTCATTTTTAAAGTTTTTCATCATGGTTCTCTCTCTCTCTCTCTCTTTTTTTTTTCTTTTCGTATTTCAATGATAGTTTTGCTGTGCAATATTCATGGGACCTCTGTAAAATCTACTATATTTGTTGAAGATGCACCTATAATTAACGCTTTAGATCTATACTGAATCTCTTCCAATATGCTGAACTCTTGCAAAGGGATTACATTCATCTTCACTGATATCGTGGCTTAGAGCATCAAGTGTTGGGAATTTCGAGCACCACAATTTCACACAAACGGAAGCGATAAAGAAATTGAAACAATAATTTAACGTGGTTCGACTTGTACACCTCTCAACAAGTCAACGTCCACATGAAAGAAAGAAATAAATCCACTATTAAGAAAAAAAAAAGTACAATAATTTAGAAACTCTTTTACTCAAGAAGCACTCAACACCCTAGTTTCAATGTATAGAAGCTCTCGAATTCTCCCTAATACTCCCTCTTAATCTACACAAGGATTTCTCATAATTTCTCACAATTTCTCTCTTTCTTTTCTCTCATAAGAGCTTTCACTTAATTTCTCTTGCTTTCTCCTACTCTTGCTTGCCCATTGCCTTTACATGCATGGGTATTTATAGTGAAAAATCCAACCACCCATGCACCATTTTTCTTTGCCTCATTACCACCCGGCCAAGATTTTCTTTGCCCATTAAATGGCTCAACATGTAATCTTGGATGATTTCAACAAAGCAATCCTAGGCTCCTAGCCCACAACTAGCTAGGTTGGTGAAGCAAACTTCCACACAAAAAGTCCATGGGTTCACACATGGGGTTGGACTTTCTTCCAACATCAAGAAGATAGGGAGGCTAGCTACTAGGTTTAAGGAGAGTGTGTAACACAGAAAAAGAGCACTAAAGAGTGCTCTGAATCTCTCTATGGGTTTTAGAACTTTTTTGCCTCCGGAATTTTGCTCGGCGATGGCATCCAACTCTTCATTCTTCCCAACCTTTTTTTTCCTCTTCCCTTCATCTCCTTTGTATAATTTCTCTTTACTTTTCTCTTTTCCTTATCTTCATCCACCTCTTTTTTTTCTTCTTCTTCTTCTTTTTCTTTTACTAATTTTCATCTCATTTTTCCCTACAATTAGTTTTCAAGCAATAACATCAACAAAGATTGTGTTTTGAAGAGTAAATTAAAAGATATCCAGTGCTATAATAAAATGTTGATTAAAGGAGTATAAAAATAATAATAATTCTTTCAAAAGTTATCATGTGATATATATTTAGCATATCTCTTTAATATTAAAATAATACTTATTTTTGCTATCTTAATTTACACTTAAATATATTATATATGGTTATATCATCTTATATATGAGATGCCACTTTTTAATTTATCTATATAAATGTC